CGCGGGCTGGCGGGGCCGGGGCCTCCTTACAGGGAAATGAGACGTGCTGCCTCGGAGCAGATCAGCTGCACGCAGCCGTCCATGGAGGTGGTGGACTACAGGAGTAAATCTTTTGACTGTGGAAGCATCTCTCCACCGAAACCTGCCCCGCTCGTAGAGACAGCCGCTCCCAAAGTCTCCTCTGCAAACGGAGCCGCTGGGCACGTGCCTCTGCTGGAAAGGAGGAGGGGCCCGTTTGTGAGGCAAATCTCCTTAAATATTGCTCCAGAGAATCATCAGGCCCAGGGGAAGTCGAGTTCCTCGTTTCAGACAGCTCATGCTACAGATGTGCCCACGGTGCCATTGCAGAGGCCGCCGACCTCCAGCAAACCTTTGGGGGAGTTTCCTTCCAGCACTCAGCATTCGCAGACTCACTCCAGGCCCCACTCAGCAGCTCAGAATTGTAATCCTGTTACCCTGTCTTCGGTCCAGCCGCCTCTAGATCATGTATTGAGTAGTCAAGGGCAGCCATCATCGATTCATCAGCCTTCCCAGACACCTACTAAAACATCAGCCCAAGGGGAACAAGCGAGCACATACATGCTTTCTGGTCACCCCAATGAGAAAAAGGATTGCTTTGCTCCAAAGTACCAGCTTCACGTTAAAACGTTACATATAGGTCAGCCATACTCTTCTAAATTGCTAAAAAATACCTTACCCACTCAGACTGTTCCAAGTCAGGTTGGGGTGGACCAGAATGTATCCTCCTTTGAACTGCAGACTAAGCTGTCTGAGATGTCTAACCCCTACTCTGTGCCTCCTCTAAAGCAAATTGTCCCCAATAACTGCAGCAGCCAGGTACAGCAGATTGCTCCCTTTGTGGTCCCCGTCCGTATCCAGAGCAGTGTGCCATCCTATGGCTTTGCAACTGTTACACCCCTCCCTCACATCTTAGTCACCCAGGATCAGGTAACTCAGTCTGTTTGCAAAACAAATGTTGCGACGGTGCCAACGCTTGAAGGCAAAGCTCAGCTGCCAAAGTCTCACAAAGATCATCAGAGGACTTTGCCAAATTCGTTTGAATTTGAAAGTTCGCAGCCAGAAAGCGGAACCAGAAATTCACCTTTGTCAAGCTCTTTGAATATCATTCAGAAAGTGCCAGTTAGTGGACTCTTCCCTCAACCAGAAGCTACAGCTTCAAGTAAACGAATGCTTTCCCCAGCCAACAGTTTAGATATTGCCATGGAAAAACAGCAAAAACGTGTTAAAGATGAGAGTGGAGCTGCCTGTGTGACAGATGCTAGGCCCCTGCACCCTCTGAACGTTAAATCCAGTGACCCTACTGGTAAGCAGAAGAAACCAGTTTTGGTAAGACAGGTTTGCACCACAGAGCCTCTTGAAAATCACCTTTTAGATCCCGATGGTGCTGCACAGCATGAAAAAAGCAGCAAGGCTGGTACTTCAGACCTGCTGTTGCCTGACTGTCATTCCTCTGACACTGGGGTTTCAGAAGCCCTAAAGGAGTCACCAGAATCTGAAGACCTGAAGTCTTCAGCATCGCCAGTGTTTGTAGCTAGAAAACCATCTGAATTGTCTCCAGGGAATAATCAGAGTTCTCTTCTCAAGGCTGTAAGCAGCAGTCAGGAGGGAAGGTCCCCAGGTAACCCTGAGAGCAAGCACCTCAGTGGCCAAGGCCAAGCAAAGCCTGTAACTACCCTGGCTGGGATGAATGCAGAACTGCAAAGGTTGTCATTCCCCAGCCTCAAGACCACAACGAGTTTTACCTGGTGTTACCTCCTGAAGAGAAAACCATTACATCTGCTGCAAAACGACCAGAAAATCTCAGCCTATTCCACGTGGACCATTAGTCCCAACAATCCCAATCCACTGGGTTTGTCGACGAAAGTAGCACTCTCCCTCCTCAATTCCAAACAAAAAGTTGAAAAACCATTGTACACTCAAGCAAGAACTACTCATCCCAGGTCTGATGTCTTGGTCTATTCGAGCAAGTGGAAGAACAGCTTAACCAAGGTACTTGAGCTGTGCTTGATGTGTGCAGAGGATTTGCTTTGGGGATCATGCTCGTTCATGTTTTAGAGAATGCAATGTGCCTGATGTGTGTAGTATATGTGCTTATTTATTTTAGATACGCTGGATCATACTGCTAAAAAGATCTGAAGTAATTCCATTAAGAAACCTGTTCATGAGGTTTTAGGGCTTTTCATGGAAATTAGTTCCTGGATTTAAATTTGAACACAAAGTGAGGTTTATGGCAGAAGGCGTTCGGCTGGTTTTTCAGTCCAAAGGGTAGAACAAAAATAGCTCTGATAGAAATATTTCTTCAACACTGAACTAAAACCAGGTTAATTTAAGATCATAACTGTATATTTTGCCTTGAAAGTCAGCTGGTATTTTCTCTTATAAAAGTGCTCAGCCCAAACCTGTGTCTATGGATATGCCAGGGAAATATTTGTCACCATCACTGACCATCTAATGGGGAGAGGAGCAAAGCACCATTTCCCTTCTCCCACCTAGATTAATCAGAGGGGTGAAATAATGACAAAACCAGTGAAGTTTAAAATAAAATTACTGCTGCCATAAAAACACTTGACAACTTCTTGGACCTCTGTGGCTCCAAAGATGACGTTGGGGTAATACTCCAGGTGATGTTTGTGGCCTGTAGATAAAAATATGTGATTCTGAAGTCAGATGTGAGAGAGCAGAGCAGTCACTTGGTGTTTCCTGAGCTGGCTTGGGGCTGAGCACGTGTGGTCAGGCTTTCACTCGCTGTCCAGTTTGGTTATGGATGGGACCAAAGCTGTGCTGGTTTGCACTGGGTTCAGCATCCCTCTGTGAATGGGCAAAGGTGGCTCCCTGCCCTGTAGGATGGCAGGAGGTGGCTGTGCCTGTTCAGTGGAACCACTACTGGCTTTTATTGTCCCATCTAGTGAAGCCATAAAGCTTTCTGAGGTGTACAGCACTATTTCACACCCTTCTTTCCTTTCTTCTGTACCTCATGTCTTTGATGTCAAACTCCTCTTTGGAGCTGACAAAATGGGGCGTTAGCCACGGACCTCCCTTTCTTCAGAATCCATCAGGACATAGAAATGGCTTTTTTGGGTGTAAAAGCAATCATAACTTCTCCTAATCCTGCAGTCTGCCATCAGCAAAGCCTCCCAGGCATCAGGCTGGGAATTGGGGTCCGTAGGGTTGGCAGTCACTCCAGAGGTGTCAGAGCCCAGCCTTGGGAAAAGACTGGGCTTTCTGTAGTGTGGGGTGCTGGAGAGTGCTGCTGCCAGAGCTCAGCCTGGGATGCTGCTGTGCTTGCTGAGTTTTTGCTAAGGTACAAAGTCATCGGTGGGGAAAAGAGCAATGGGATGAGAAACTGTGTAAGAGGAAGAAATGGTTTCAGAATGACAGGGGGAGTCGAGGAGATCTGCTGAAACCCCTCAGGCCAAAAGATGATGAGAGTCCTGAAATCAATGGGAGGCTTTGCTAACGTTTAGAGTGGAGGTCAAAACTTGATCTGTGATATTCCACATGCATCCAGGCTGCTGAGTTTGTGCTGGTGCTGTAACTGAAGTGTCAGTCCTGTGTTAGTCTCACCTTCTTCAGCCTCTTTCATACGCTTCATGAGATGTGCTAAATGGAAAAGGAAGAGAAGAAAAAAGGATTAGAAGATGCAGTTTTTTTCACTGCACCTAGTTGAGCCATTCTTTCTAAGGCAAGGCTCCCATCAGTTGTGTCATTGACTCATGTTTGGTTGCTTTTTAAAGAGCAGTCTATCAGAAGAAATCCTCTGGTAACAAAGCTACTGCGTGCCTCTTGAAGAGCAAATTTTGTCTACAAACAAATTCTGTTTAGAATATAAATAACGGATAATAATATTTTGAAAAATATTTTGACAGCACCCTTTTAAACACTCCAGGAGTACTTAAATGCTGTAATAGGCAGCTGTCAGGTACGTTTACAGTGCTTCTGCCACAAAAGAACTGCAGTTACTAATCTTTCTTCAGTCTTTCTTGCTGACATTTGGAATGAAGCACACAGGCATGGTGAGAATGAAGAGTTCTTAAGCTCTGCTTGTGGCTGATTTACAGGTTTTACTCACAGCCATTATGGAGGAAGAAAGTACAGCAAGAAAACACCAATTAAACTTTAATTGGCATCTCAGATTGTACCAGTGAGGTATAGGGTGGCAGAAATTAAAAATTTCAAAGACCTGCTATGACCTGACACCTTCAGGGTTTATCTGCTTTCCCTTTTAATGGCTCAGGCAGTGGGATTTCAGCTGCTTTTCAGGATAATGCTGCTGCTGCTACAACATATCTCTGTATTGCCAGGGTCCTGTTAGACCTGGTGATGGGATAGCTGATGCCAACATGAAAAATTCCTCACAGATGCCATGTCTAAAGAAAGCAAAACCTGAAATTCAGTTTTAAACCTGAGTTATTCAGTTCAGGCCCAGTAATTCTACTGGTTTTTCTGGCTGAGACTGAGGATGGAAAAGGTTGGGAGGTCCTTTTGGAAAGATTAGCTAATAATTATTTAAAAAAAAAAAAAAAGTAATTGATTTCCTGCTTAAAAGCTTGGTGGGGTCTTGAGTTCCCTCAGTTCAGATGGCAAGTGTCTGGGGGTTGTGTTTGCTCAAGTGGTTTGCACATTTTAACCCTGACCTGACAGAGAGCTTTAAGTGCTTCTATAATCCAATTTATACATCATTTTAAAAATGCAGCACTGTTATGCCTCCCCTCTTCTCACAGTCAGCCCTGTCCAGGGTGATTTGGTGTCTTCTGCTCGTGGGGCTTTAACTGCTGATCTCCTCACCAAGATAAAGTGGCTTCCTGAACCCTGCCTGGGTTTGCCCCCAAAATGAAGTCATGTTTGCAGAGATCTCGTGTTGCTGCATAACCACTACTAATCACTGTCACAAGAAAGGCAATTCCTTCAGCAGTACACACCATGGGAAATGCAGAGACGTGGACACAATGCAAACAAGAAAGGACCTGGGACTTTGTTTGCTCTTCACAATTCGCTGCTCAGAGGCAGTGGGTGAAGTTGCCACGTTCCGGTGATTCAGAGAGCAAACCACAAGATGGTATTGTGAAAGAAGCTCCTGGAATGAGCACAGCACCTTAAAATGTAACAGGAGGTTCACCCTCATGGGAGAAGCTTATTTCATCTCCCTGCTCTTTATTTTAGTGGTCTGTTTTTTTCTCTTTTTTGCTGGTTTTCCTCACGTGAAGTCATTGGTGGGTGTTTCAGGAGTTGTTCCTCAAGCCCCTGCGTTGCTCTTGGCTGGGTAGTGTTCCAGGGTGAAGGTTTTCAGGCAAGAACAGGCTGCAAGGTGGAAAGTTTCCCCTAACTGGAAAGCTTTCCTTTCTTGGATGCTGTGCCTCAACAGCCCAGCTCACTGCTGGAAAGTACTTAAATGCAGAGGATTTTTATGTGTAAACTAGTAAAACGTTAAAGATATTAAAACCATTTTCCTCAAGTGGCTGTGTGCCAATGGGGAAAATGTTTAATGAATATTCTAATCTAAAATTTATAACTTTGATGATTCTGGCTGTGAGCATCCTGGTTTGTTGTTTTTTTTTTTTTCCAAGGGATGTTGTAAAGTACCACAAGTATCTATTGAACTCTGGTCTCTGGACAGCCTTAAGAGCAGGTTTTTTTCCAGTTTTATACCAGTAATTGAAGACAGTGGAGTTAAATTGGAGCAAAGTGAGTGGAGTAGAAATGAATCATGGTCCTTGTCTCTGTGGGAGAAAAGAGAAAATACTATTGGAAGGGATAAGATGGAACATTTCACAGCACTGCTGTTTTTCTACCTGTACATGTGGGGCTTGGGAGATTTTAGGTGAGGTAAGGTAAAGGATTTCTACACAAAAAACCTGTGTTCCTTAGAACACCTATGTTAGGTCATCTTCTGTCTGTACTTAAACATGTGGGTGAGAAGACAGAAGGGGCTGGGGAGAATCCAGAGGTATTTGGCCTTGTGTTAGTGTTTGCACTCTCGGTGCCTTTGTGACTATGCAATTTATTATATCTCTGTTTCCTGTAGTTTGGATAGCAACACGGGCCAAATATTTCTGGAATCTTTCTTTTTCCTTTGTCTTTTCATTCTTGAAAATGAGTTCTGGAAAAGATACTCAGTATTCAGGGTTGAAAGATCAGGCCCTTAAAGATCTCATCATTCCAGCAGCCAAGAATATTTGTGTGGCATTGGGTTTATTGTATGTATTCTGTATTTTCCATTACTCTTTTCTTGTTAAATTACAAATGTCACCTTGTTATTCTTTGTTTGCAGTGGAAACAAAGAGCAATGTGTGTGCCAGGTAGTGTACAGGAACCACAACACAGCTGAGCTGCAGGCACTGGAGCAGGCTCCACTTCTAGTACTTCTCATCCAGGACATCTCCTTCCACCTTGTGTGAATGCTGTTACAACACGCAGGGTGACACTTCTTTCTTCCTACACACAGGCAGAGTTGTCTTGTGTGCTTTGGTAGAGCTGCTCAGATAAATAATTTGAGAATCCAGCCCAAATCAGTCAGAGAGGGCTGCGTGAGGGTGTATGGGTTGGAGTGGTGCTTGCAGCCTGTGCCTAGGGCTGTGGACTGACCAGGAAGATGCTTTTCCTCTGATCTCTGTTAATTCCTCCACGTCAGCCACATTCCTCCTCAGGTGGGAAGTGGAGGTGGTGGCTGAGGCTGTGTGGAGAGCCATGGGCAAGGACCAGGTGCCAGAGTGATGTCACCCCTCGGGGTATGTGTGAGGACCAGTGCAACCCAGCAGTCATTTCATCAGCCACTCCTCCTGCCAACAACTCTCAAGCTTTACAGCATTGCATTTTATGAGTAGAAAACATAAGGCCAGGGTGGTTTTTCTTTTTCTTCTCATCATTTTATTCACTTCTCAATATGAGCAAATGTGGCCAGTGTGCCAGCTACGTGGGTAGAACAGTTTATAATACAGCAGTAATAATTGCTGGCTAATTGGATCATTCCTTCATTGTTGCCCATTTTATAAATATCCTAGACTTGGAAGGAATCGATTTTAATTGGCAAATGTTGGGGGAACTCATTCTGCTTTAAAAAAAAAAATAAATAAAATTCCTTAATTAATAATCATGGGAAATGGAGAAAGCTTATTTTTGTTAAGAGGAGCAAAGCTGTGGCTATTCAGGAAGCACCTGGGTTTGATCTTCAGCATTTTTTTTCTCAGTTGAAGGCTGTTAGCTAAAAAACATCACCTTCACCTTCCCAGAAAAGTAAGGAGGCATCTCCTACTGCATATTCAAATTTCCATATAGACTGACTAGCCCACAAGCAGTCAGTGCATAGGAGAAAAGAAGTTTAGCAAAAGAATTTTTGTTTTGTGTATCTTAACTTTTTTTTTAAATTGGTTATTGTAATTGTGACTTTTATGATGCTTTTATTCATAATTTACAGGTTTGAGTGGTCTGTGACAGATACTCATTTTAATGATATGCATATCTCGTTTTCTTTCAGAGAGCATTAAATAGAAAAAAACTGGCTGCAGCTGAATTCAGCAATAAGGAAAACTCTGAATCAAGCACTGAGCACGATAAAGAAAATTCCTTTATCAAATCTGAACCAAGAAGAGTTAAAATCTTTGATGGCGGGCAAGTGTTGTGTTTTGTATATTAGATATCACCAGGCAGATATTTTTTTCCTTGATTCTAGAATTTGCAGAGCTGTTGGTTCCTGTTTGATTTATTTTAAATAACAGTTCCCATACTGTGGTCTGTGGATGTTGGTTTATGTTTTCAAGAAAAATGGAAAGTCATCAGAAGCACAGAGCCATGAGAGTTACGAAGGGGGGTAATGAAATAAAGAAAGTAGGCAGTGCAATTCTTTCTTTTTGTTCCCAAAGGATGAACATTAATCAGCAGTAAAGGCAGCAAGATCCAGCCATAGATGTAAATTCTTCTCCTATATTTCTCTTACCTGATAAATGATACCTATTCTGCACTAAAGTTGTAGAACTGTAGCTGGTGAGGACATAGTCCAGGGACTAAGCAGCAGACTGTGGTGCAGTCTCTGGCAGTTCACTGTGACATACACAGGCTGGAGAACTCCCCACTTGAAAAGTGCCATGGAAATATTTGCTGAGAGCCCTCATCCATGCACTGTTAATACTTTCAATCTGATAGGAATAGCAGTTTCTTTAGCCTGTGTTGTGCCACGTACAACATCTTATAAAACAGACTTTTTTTCAGTAGAAGAGTGCCAGTGACAGTTCTAAAAATTTTAAGCACAAACGGTGCCTATTTTATTATTCTTATAATTGGTGGTGGGCTTCTAGGGCTTTCCATTTGTTGGTTCCTGGTTTGAGGCCAGTCTAGGCCAGCAGTGAAGCCCTTACCAGCTGCCTGGGTAAAACATCTCCACACAGATCCAAACGTTGCAGGGACCAGGTCACCGGGGCTAAGCACAACCTTTGGTGTCCACGAGCAGAGGTGTTAAGGGTGTCCCTGAACCTGAATGACTTTTTCCATCTAGAGACATCCAAAGCACATTGATAGGGTGTTTTAAAGCCTTTAAACACCTTTAAACTAGTTAACTGTCATAACTAGTGTTACTCCTTTAATGCATCCAATGCAGAGCCTCAAAGATGCTCTTTTAAAGCTTCCTCATGGTGCCCATGCTGCTTCCAAGAACTGACACTTTTAAAAAGTCTGTTCCTGTGCTGCAAAGAGGAAATTGAAAAACTTTAAATAATGTAATATTGAGCAGTACCTGTATTAAAAAAACAAATCCACGATTGCCTAGTGAAAAATTAGAGAGGAGTGTAACACCCAAATGCAGAAATTGGGCAGAAAAAGAGGATGGTTGGCTTTGCCAGTCATCCATTTTCATCCATTTCATTCCATTGCGCTATTCTTTTTAAAATTCTGGTAGAGGAGGGTCTGTAGCTAGAACCACTCCTGCCTGCCAACCCGTGGCCTTACGTTGTGGTCCTGTGAGCAGGTACAAGTCCAACGAGGAGTACGTGTACGTGCGGGGGCGGGGCAGAGGGAAGTACATCTGTGAGGAGTGCGGCATCCGCTGCAAGAAGCCCAGCATGCTGAAGAAGCACATCCGCACCCACACCGACCTCCGGCCCTACCACTGCACCTACTGCAACTTCTCCTTCAAAACGAAAGGTGGGGCTGCTTCTCTGGCCAGGCTTCCCTCCCTTTCCCCTTCTGCTCTCAAGGATGAGTCTTGTCTTCTCGCGTGGCTGTTGTGAAGCTGAGGATGTTGCCTCCCTGGAGAGTTTTGTTGTCTGAACTTCAAGTATTGGTAGCTTGGTTTTCTTCGTTGTCTTGATGTGGATAAGCTGGTGGTGGAAAAAAATCATGGGAGTATGGTGAAAGCTGGGGGAAGACAAGTGAGCTGGTTAGGGATGGAGACAGAATTTGAAGTCCCTAGTGGTGATCTTTCAGAGGTATGACATTATACATTACACTCCTCTTGGCACTCAACTAATTGCTCTGGGAAACAAATTGGCCGTTATTAAATTACTATATTAAAATGGTTTTTATACCCTTGAAGAAAAAGGTTCACTTTCCACTTGAACTTCTAAGACCCAAAGGTGCACGCCTATTTTTTAAAGCCTGTTTACACCAGACCCTGAGAATCACAGAGTTGTTTTGGTTGGAGAAGACCTTTAAGATCATCAAGTCCATGCAAGTACTTAAATGCATCCTAGTTTAAGCAAGCGATATATTAAACATTGGTAGACCCAGGCCTCAGAATAAGTGAAACAGACAAGAGAAGTTCACAGCCAAAATACTTTCAGCGAAAAAATTCTAAGCAGTAAAATTTTTCTTGGCTTTGAACATCATTTAGCAATAATCCCCCCCAGCTGTAACCTCAGAAACATTTTTAGTTTTAGTGGGTTTGAGACTACTCAGCAGTTGGGTGGAAAACTTCCAAGACATAACCCAGAGCTGCAGAAAGTGGGATGGATAGTCTTCAGATGTGTCAAAACCTCTCTCTGCATCCTGACACACTGGGTCATCCTCTTGCCCTGAAGATGAAACGCCAGAGTGTGAACCCAGCAAATTCTGAGGATGGTTTTTGCAGAGTAGGCGTGTTGGCCAAGTTCAGGTCATTAAGTTCTGCCTGTTTGAAATTCCCCCTGCTTTCAGTTGTAGCTGGCTGTTGTATTTGCTCTCTCTTCTGCAGCTGCTATGCCCAGTGTTGCCTGTGCTGCTGGCAGAGTCACTCACTTGGGTGATGGATGTTCTGTAAAACACCCTTCAGGACAGGACAGCACAGCCAGTAACTTCATGCAGTATGTAAAGCTGCAAAATTTGAGTTTCTGAGTCACTGCAGCCATGTAGCTTCCTACCAATTATTTCAGCATTTGGGTTGAATTGCTACCTTCATATAAAAGCAGGAATAAAGTTCTCCATGACCGTAGAAGAACCACCATTTCACCCACTGTAATTTCTCCCATTGTAATACCTCAAAGAAACAGCAGGAAGTTTAAATATAAAGTGAGCAGATTGGTGCAATAACATACATTTCACAAATATCATAATTTACAGATCTCTGGTCTACTCTGAGCCTTTTCTGGATGATATTGGCTGTATTTTCTTACCCAAGGAGAAGGGGAGAGCAGCCTGTGGGGCCTCTCAGCAGCTCTGTGTTCACTTTTGAGATTCAGATCAAAACTGTTCATGCTCTGAACGTATATTTTGAAGAAAATTAATCTGTTTAGATCAGCAATGAAAATGTTTGCACTAAAAATAGAATCCATCAAATCCTAAAAGAGCTGCAAGATACGAACGTTGATTTCACATGATTGTTTTCTGTCAACATGACTTTGATGACTGAATCAGCCTGTTTTATACTAAACAAATGAGGGATCTTTTACAGCCATGCAAAATCATCATCTAGGAGTTCTATCCTATTCTATTTTACCCTTGATAAAGAACTTGATGAAATGCAGCCAGAGAGCTGGTGGCATTCAAGGTGGTGAATCTGCTGCAGCCCTCGACAGCTTCTGTTGAGGGGCAAGGTTCTATCAAGTGTGAAATCGAATTATACAGGTGGTTATAAATGCAGCTGGATAAGGTGTAGATGTGGTGAGTGTATATTTGGATGGTTTTCTACAGTTACAGAGCAGTTAAATGTCTTTTTTCATTTTTTCTTAAGGAAATTTAACAAAACATATGAAGTCAAAGGCACATAGCAAGAAGTGCATGGATTTGGGAGTCTCAGTAGGCTTAATAGATGACCAGGATGGAGAAGAGGAATTTGGTAAGAAATTAAAATCTTCTTTCTTTACTGCATTTTTGTATTTACTTTTTCATCCCGATTTCTTACCCTTTCTTTTGCAAAGCTTTTGAATTCTTGCACAGGGAAAAGATGAGAGATAAAAATCTTCCAAGCTAGTCCAAACGAGCAAGAAATACTGGAAAAACTGTCACCAAAAGAAATGACAAGCATATGCTAAAGATAAATTGCTGCTGAATTTTTCACAAAGTGTTATGCAGTTTAACTGTATGGTTTCACAGATAAATATGACAAGACTGAAAATACCAAAAAACCCAGCTGTTTGCTTAGAAAAAAAGGGAGTCAAATGTAGTGTTTCTTTGAAGATAGTTGTGCATGAAATTGTCAAAGTTTTGAGATGCACATTTCATAAGAATTCTGCCACTAGCATGCCACCTGAGTCACAAGGATGTTGCTGAGTGCTTTGCAGCGAGGCTGATCATCTTCCAGTGCAGAGTTCTGTCCTCCTTCACAAATAATTGGGCATAAATCAGCAGATAGAGATCACTTAGAAATCATGGACATTATTCATCTCGACCCGTTCTGCTTCTCCATTAGCGATGAGAGCGTTATCAAAACGAATCAATTTGCCAATAATTGGAATTCTGCCTTTCCTACATCCTGAGGCCTCTGAAGAGGAGCTGAGATGGAGCACAGTCAAAAGGGGCCAGGCTGAGTTCATGGGGGTTTTTCTCAGCATGATGAGGAGGCTGCAGCTGCAGCACAGGCAGCGAGATGGAGAACAGGACTGTGCCTTAGGACCGTTTCGGATCTCGGCGGCGTTTGCTCCCTCCTCCCATTTCTCAGCAGGGAGATGAGTCGTGTGGCCTTGCCTTGTTATATTTTTTCTTCTTTCAGTGGAATGGTTTATTAGATTGCGGATGAGGTTTTGAGAAAAAAAAAGCAGTGGGGATCTTTATTTAAACAGTAAAGGGCAAGAAAGATGAATGCACTTGCTCCCGTATGACAGCCGCCAGCAGAATAAGCGAATCAGCTTGAATCTAATTCCAGATAATGCTGGGAATATGACTCAGCTGCTATGATTCAGTAGTGCACTAGGTACAAAGAAACCTGCATTTTCCCTTTTTTGGCATTCTTCAATATATTCCTTCTTGGTAAGCTAAAAACATCTCCCCCTTTGCAATGTGAGGTACCAAGTCAATAAGACAGAAGGGAAGCGGCGGCACAAATTCCGTGTCCTCTTCTCACAGAGGAGCAGTTTTCATTAAAGTTTTCAGCCTTTGCCTGATAAAAAAAAAATCATCACAACTTCTTTAAGCCATGCTCTGTAGATTTCGACATTTTATTTAGTTTTATAAACCACAGCTGAACAGGTATTTCCATTTACTCGGAACTGAAAGCATTTTATTGATCTGATAAATCGATATTCCCAGCTGCACACATGAAAAACTGCATTTGTGGTTATAATATAATGGGAAATGTTTCAAATGTTAACAGAGTTACCAGTAACACCCAGTGGAAGTAAATCATTTCAATTATTGGTTGAAAAATTGTTCTTTTTTTGACTCCAAGGCCATTAAATTGAGAGAGACTCTCTCTTTACATGCCCCATACAGGTGTGTGTAACCACAGTATAAATATATTCTATATTCCCTGAAATACATTCTTTGTTTCAGCACAGTAGTTACTTAAAAAAAATAAATACTCTATTTTGGATATAGAAAAGCAAGACAAACGTTCAACAGGATCTGCTACACAATCCATTAAATTCTCACAGAACTTTAATTTTAAGACCACAATGGTTTTGTTTATTTTATCTTTATTTTATTTTTTGGAATAGGGCAGGTAGCACTTCTGTCTTGAACTAAGAACCCCAAACCAAAATAAAAAGTGGTGATAAAATCCCCACCTTTTCTAAATGATCTGGCTTGGGTACCTGTAGCAAAACGAGGCATGCAGCACCTAATTTTTTGGCTACATTTGAATATGATTGGATATATATATAATTTTTTTTAAGTGTCTAGGCAGTCTCAGTGAGTAACAAAGTGGTTTGACTGCCTCTTTGGCTGCCCTTTCCCCAGGCCCTTGGGTATTCAGCTGCACTCCTGGTGTCACATTTTTGGCCCTTTCAGCCCTCTTCCCTCTGACCTGTGTTGCTGGTGGGTTTGGGTCACATGTGCTTTGAGAATCACAGAATCAGTTTGGTTAGAAGAGACCTGTAAGATCATCAGGTCCAACCACTAACCCAGCACTGCCAGGTCACCACTGACCTGTGTCCCTCAGCACCACATCTACACAGCTTGGAAACCCCTCCAGGGATGGAGACTCCACCCCTGCCCTGGGCAGCCTGGTCCACTGCCTCATAACGCTTTTGGAGAAGAAATTTTTCCTAATATCCAACCTAAACCTCCCCTGGGGCAACTTGGGGCTGTTTCCTCTTGTCCTATTGCTTGTTCCCTGGGAGCAGAGCCCGACCCCCCCCTGGCTCCAGGCTCCTGTCAGGAGCTGTGCAGAGCCAGAAGGTCTCCCCTGAGCCTCCTTTGCTCCAGGCTCAGCACCCCCAGCTCCCTCAGCTGCTCCTCACCACACTTGGGCTCTAGACCCTTCCCCCGCTTCACTGCCCCTCCATCCCCTCAATGTCTTTTTTGTAGCAAGGGGCCCAAAACTGACCCCAGGATTCAAAGTGCAGCCTCCCCAGTGGCCCCTGCCCAAGTCCTGCTGGCCACACTGGTGCTGCTACAAGCCAGGACTTTGGTGCTTTAAAAAAAAGTCTTTAAACCTGTACATTTTTTCCTTCAGGAGCTGCGTGGTTGTTACAAGTGACCTCTCTCAGAGAGTGCTCTGCCCAGCCCCAGCTCCCTCCTCAGCTGCAAGGCAACGTGAGATGCTGTGGAGGAAGGTGCAGAAAATCTGATAAGAAATAATTATGACCTCAGAAAAAAATATTCCTTCTTCCCATAGGCTGTGTGAGATTGGCCTCTTTCCTGACCCATAGCATGTCTGTCTGTCTGTCTCCAAGTAATTTGTTATCCAAACACTTGGGATACTGATTATTCTTATGGCAATAAAAACGTCTGTATCTTTGCTTAAACCAACAGCTGTACATCTTCCACCAGACTTGGAATTGGAGAATTAGCCAGAAATCTAACAAAGCCACCAGCCTTTTATTCGCTCAGGGTTTTGCTGGTTCTGTTTGTTTAAGCACAGGCAGTCACAGTTACTTAAATATATAATTTCTGAGATTCATGTGAGAAGGCAGCTTTGGCCTGGCAGCAGCAGAGATGGACAGTGCATGCAGATGGACTGAGGGGTGCAGAATTGTGCATGATCCTGGACACACAGAGAATGTTTTTGCAGTAATCTGAGAAGCTGAAATCTTGTTGTGTTGTAGCATCTAGGGTATAAAAGAAAGAGATGCTCTCTAGCTGTCAGAGCCTGTATGTGATCAGAGCTTTTAACACAGCATTCTTTGTATTTGGACTTGTCATCATTTGGGTATTAGTAAATACTTTCTGGCCTCCTTTTTGTATTCAAAACCATTCCCTCATCCATTTATCTTTCATCTTCTGCTCTGTGGAATGTTCTTATCACCAAAATACAGGGTTACAATGTAAGGAATGTTAATATCTGAATTAAATTGTCAGGCGAGGTGAACTGTTTACTGTGACAGACTGCAACTAGGGATATCCTTTTTGGCTCTGCTGACCCAATATTTTGCTGTGCACTCTTAAAAACAGTCATTTGTCTTCAGATTAAAACAGTTATGACATTTAAACCTGTAATAGTTCACATGTAAGCTCATTTATGAGTGGCACAGTATGCTTGAGTAAACGTGCACAAGATGTTTAGTAATGAAATCAGTAGATGGGCAGAATTTATTTTAATGGTCTCTGTGGAGAAATTGAATCCCAAAATATTCATTACTTTACCAATGAAAAGACCTAATTGTAAGTTTCAGATATGTATGGTTTTATTTTTATATATATATATATACACACACACATATATACATAAAAGCACTTTGCTTTTCTGCATTATTAAACAAACCCTTCTAAAGATACAATGGTTCTCAGCTAAATAGCTATAAATTACTTATAGTATATCTTAAGTGAGTTTCCATGGCTCTTCATTAGCTTAATTATTACTTGGGCTGTGTTTTTACTTTTAAGGAGTGAAAATAAATGGAAAATCTTTCCATAATATCCTCCTTTTGCAAACAGAATGGAAGGATGGTTCTGTATACAAGGAATAGATTTTTTGAATGGCAGTGTCTGCTCTTCAGCTGGATGTCCATGAAGCACAGTGGAGCCCTGCACCCACAGCCTGGGAACAGGCTGCCCAGTGCCAGGGCTGAGGTACAATGCCCCAGGCTTAGGTGTAGATAATCCCTTTAAAGAGAGATGCCCACAGGTTGGTTTTTCCTCATTTCTGAGGAGCACTGGCTACCACCAGTCTGACTTTAACCCAGTAGATGTCACTGTGAGTCCTGTTTGATGGGGATGGGCAGTGGACAGTAGCTGCAGCAAGACTGAAACTGGGCAGGTGAAGATGTAGACCAGACTTAGGAGGACGAGGAGGTGGCAGGTTTGGGTAGAGGTGGCTGGCATTGTTTCACAGGCTGAGGTTTATCCTTACTCATATTTATCTGAAGGGTTGGGGCACGGTCAAGAGTAATACAACAGGTGAAAGGCAAGTCTGAGCTTGTCATTGTTTAGAAAAACAGAGAGTGCATTGATGCCATGCAGACCTGACAAGCTTACAATAATATGGTGAGGTACTAATAAATATTTCTGCCTTTATTGCCATAGTATTCATTTTTTTTTCCCTTGAGTTTGATGGAGAATATAAATAATAGAGAACAGATGCTTTCTTTTCCAGTGCTTTTATGTAGATGCTAATCCCTGACTGAAGGCAGCTACACAATTGGGAGGCAATAAACACTGCTTTGTATTACTCAGGTGCTAAAAGCCAGTACATTTAGGAAATTTAAATTCAGATGGAAAGAGATGGTGAACAGACTAACAGATATTTAGTGTTTAATCTGTAAAACCTCAGCAGTCTGGACTTGTATTTTCAGCTCTTGTCTTCCTGACAGTGAAAGAACAAAAATAAACTCTTTCTGCAAAAATCTACCTGAATGTGATAAGTTATAATCAAATATGGCTGTTAGAAGCTGTTGAAGTTCATCATTAGATTAGGTGCAGAAATTGCCAAGTGTGTAGCAGGGCCTGATAAGTTGGGTCCTGCAAGGGGTGAATTGGTGATAAGATTGCAGTTAAAATGAAAAGCTGTAAGTTGAGATTCTGAAGAACCTTTATTTCAGTACTTTGCAGTATGAGGATGATGAGGTGACCATTGTTAAAACCATATACAGTAAAGAAAAAAAAAACCTTTAAATGAAAGAACTTCAAAGTACATAGAGGAACCTCTTTTGGTTACCTACTTCACAGCATCACAACTGGAAAAAGCAGTTCCTGGACTTCCCAGCCCCAGGCACTTCACTAATGGATGTATTAGGATGCTGATAAGTCCAGCTAATGCTATTGAGTTAAAGAACTTGAAGCTTTTTCTTCCCCTGCTTTGAGGTAGAATGTCAGTCTAACAGAGCTTTAGCCAGCAAGCTCATTAACAGCACAAACACAGTGCAGAGGACTGACAACAAAACAAATGAAGGCCTGAGATGATTTTTGCCCATGATTTGTGTACACTTACTTCAGTACCTAGAGTTACAAACTCCTTTTTATTAAATGCAATTACAGCTGGCACGGGAGCAAAATCCCCCATCAAAAGTTGGGTCCACGTTTCTCTTCTGCCTCGATTTCCAGCTGTTTCTTATTTTTGTGGAGTTCATAACTGGAGCCAAAAGTTCCACTTTCTCCTGTGAAGTCCAAGAGGAAGAGTCTTGCTAAGGGTTTAAAAGAAAAGATTGCAGCAGTTGACAGAGGATGAGAGACATTCCCTACTCTTCCAAAAACACTCCTTGTAGAAAATTGAGGCAGTCTTGAACAGTCTTTCTGTTAAAGTGGTGAGAGTTAGAAATCTGGAAGAGCAGAAGCTTTCAGAAAGCCTTCACTTCATAGTGTGAAACTTTTTATTTCTCCTGTTTTCTTTTCTCTTTTACAAAATCCTGTGAACTTTCCTGCCAAAAGCCATTTCCCCCTATGCTAGTGGCCTTTAAATTTATGACACATCCTTCATTCTAAAATAGCCCACGCTGCTTTCCAGCCTCATACAAAGTTAAACACAGGAGTCAGTTTGTTCCCTTTGAAAACTGAGTCAGTTCTAGCTGCACACATCAACCCCATAAGCATGTGGTTGTAAGTGTGCACAGTTTAAGAAAGAAAGCAAAGAATGAATTTTTCCCCAATTACAACTGCAAGAGGACTTGAGGAGGCAGCAACAATTACCAGAATGGATCAGGGCCAGTAGTGCTTGGTTCACAAGACAGTGCTTGGAGAAGAATCTTTCCCCACAAGGAGTGGTCCCAGCCTCAGGTTGGTGCCTCACCTGCAGAAGACCCACCACCCACATGGGTCTTCCACTGCTTAAAACTCCAGCAGGGGCTCCTCTCACAACGTGCACACAGGTGTACGAGCCAGAGCAGAGGGTTCCCTTGAGCAAGCAAGTCAGGAGCAGGGTTTTCCTTTCTCCTCTGGCGTGTGGAAGCAGCATGGGAGGAGGTTCATCCCTTCACCTGGCCCACGCTGCAGGCTCGGGCTCCAGGTAGCCACTGAGCTGCAGCAGAAGCTGGCAAATGGACAAAGGGTGGAGGTGAACTGGGAAACTGTGGAGGGAAACAACATCCCACCCAGTCCTGCCTGGTAGGAATGTGTGTCCTGCACACGGGTCCCCTCTCCCCTTCCATGCCCTTATTCCAGAAAGCTGAGATGTGTGTAGAAGACTTCTGCAGAAGTAGTATTTGTTAGTAAATCCTGCAGCTTTTTAGATGGTGCTTTGGAAAAAAAGATGGTTTCTCCTTATAAATCAGGGCATTGTTTGAGTGTGTTTCCTTGCTTTACAAACGTGGAGAGGGGGAGAAAAAAAGACACAAACCAGTGGGATTCCCCAGAGAGTAATTACCTGATGTTGGTAAATCAGACCAAAATGAAGAGGGGGTCCAGACTGAAACCTGAGGCTTTGCAATGCCCCGTGTGTCACTTAGAGTTGCAGGAAACACCGTGGGTCCCCTTCTAGATGTGACACGTGGAGAAGTGCTTGAGATCTGCAGCAGAGGCACCAAGGGAAGTTACCTCCATCCACAAATGTTTTAACACTTTACATTTGTTTGCTTGGCAAATTAACGATGAAGATACAGCTTGTGTGAGGAAGAGAATTGACAGAAAAACAGGAAAAAGAATTTAATAAGACCATGTGGTTTTGGTTTTAGTCTTTTTAACAATCCTACTTGCCATATTTTTTGAATAGACCTTATTGAGTTATTTTTTTTTCCACTAAAATGTGTTTTCTTCTTTGAACAGCTTTGTCTGTAGATGAGAATTACAAACAAGGCCTATTTAAAATTCTAAAAAAATATTTTTGTTGCCATTGTCCCAACGACGTGGAGGATTTGGGGTATTTTTAATAATATTTCAGTTTGATGTCTGCTGTAGTAAATGTAGAAAATCCACAGTTTCCATATTTAGTTAATGTACAAATTACTGTGTAGGCAAAGAAGGGCAAAGTCATTACAGAGGGTTTTTTTCAAAGAAGCTATTAGTCTCGTTGCTAATTGCACTGCTCATTTGAAACCATAAAAGGTTGTAATGGTGAGTAACTTATTGAGAGGTAGCTCAATTAAACCCATTTATTTTACCTGGAGTTCAAGATGCTTGTTTTGGTTTTGGTAGCATAGCAGCCTAAAGCACTGGGAGCACATGAAAATTCTTTTAAGGGGCTGGTTTTTTTTCAGCATCATTTATTTTGATGGTAAATTGTTGTGTAGGTTTCCTCCAAACAGGATCCCTGAGGTTTGAACAAGCCAGCCATCATTTTTTTTTTTTTTGCAGAACCAAAGGATTATTATGCTGATTTTTATATTTTTTTGGAGAGCTCAGCAGACAGACCTTTAATCAAATATAAAATATTAGTGCATCCAAAGCATTTTGCCTTTTATAAAACAGGATCCCAGACAGTCTGGCTTGGAATCAGACGCAGCAGATGGGATTTTCTGTCTCCTTACTGAAGACGATTCTTTCTTTCCAAGTTATGATATAAAAGAAGGTGGAAAGCTGCAGCAGAGCTGTGTTTTTTAGGGAAATTTACCACTAGACAGCAGACTTGAAGTCAGGAGGGCTTCTTCATGTCAGCAAAGTGTCACTCATAGGTAAGTTTTGATAGGCTTTAGGGCTTTCTTGCCTCCTAGGACATCTCGGGTGATTTGTTAATAAACCTTTCAAAACATAAGCGAAGGGAAGAAGTCTGGTAAGGTCTAATTTGGGTCCCTTTTGCCTGTGAACGAGACAGATTCCTGACTAACAGCCCCCAGTCTTTCTGTTGGAATCCTGCAAAAGCCTTTGCAGCAGTGATTCATACGAGGTACAAGGACACCCACCTATGAGTCAGAACCAACCGGAGAGTATCCCACCACTAAGGCTGGCAGAGCAGCCCCGTGTCCCCTCACTGGGAGCTGGCTGAACCAGGAACCCTTGGGAAGGAGTGAAGGGTGACGTGGAGTAAATGTTATAAATGGCCTGAAAGAGAAGAGCCCAGTGCAGGAGGCTGAAACCACCAGGGAAGCAGGAGATGACGTCGCTGTGTAGTTAAAGATGTGCACTGGAAAACCAAAATGAAAATCCTCCCTGTTGTTTGGATGCAGTGGGGTGTGACTGAGAAATGCCATGTGGGGCTTAGCTCTTTCTACTGACTTCCTCCCACCTCCTTCCCAGTCAGCCTGGGGCCTTCACTGGTTTAACTTCCAGTTTGCCTTTCTGCAGGCGAGAAGCAGAGGTTTGGCTACGACCGCTCGGGCTACGACGGGGAGGAGTCCGACGGGGCCGAGGAGGATGAAAACGACAACGAGGATGACGATGAGGACAGCCAGGCTGAGTCAGTCCTGTCCACAACCCCCTCGGTGACAGCCAGCCCCCAGCACCACCCCTCCCGACACGCCCTGCAGGACGAAGACCTCAGGCTGCCAGACTGTTTGGCCGGGGTCCACACGGACTCCATGGATGGTCTCCCAAAAGCTCTGCTGACAACGATGACCGTCCTGAGCGCGGCGCAGTCGGGTAGCAGGACCTCCAGGTCACCAGCAGAATTCACCCATCAGGAAGCACAGGAGGATAAAACCCAGGAGAGAGGAGCAGGTCCCCGTGCTGCAGAGGTGGCTCCCGCGTCTCCAGGGCGCCAGATGTCTGTGGATTACCCCGATCCAGAAGCAGCTTTGGGCCACTCCTTGACATCCAGTGCAGCTCTTCCAAAGGTGAGAGTGGCTGGCTCCAGGGGAGAGAGTGGGATTTTATATCCTCCTTTTAAAGATCTTTTTGAAGGCTTTAGCCAAGATCCTTTCCCTTCATTCTTAGAGTAGTTGGCTGATGAGTCTTTTAGAAGAGTTGAAAGTAATCGAAGCGCAGATGTGTGGGACTCTAGAAACAACCATACTGCTTTTGAAATTCTTAGTATTGTGTCATTCCTGAAAGGATTAATCCTAATATCATCGTTTCAGATGAAGTTTGGAGCTGGTAGATGGTATTACAAGTAAGAAGGGATATAACAGCGACGTAGAGTGAACATCTGGTGGTGGTTATGAAGTTTTCAGAGGAAAGCGATAGAATTCAGAAGTCGTTTCCCTCTGAAATATGACATTGGTAATTCCCAAGGGAAATTAATCTAGTCCCAAAGGTTTTTGCCTTATCACTATAAAAAAAATTGTGTAGTTGCTTCTCTCTCCTCCAAATATGCTTAGTATTAGAATTAGAAAGAGCACCAAATGTTCAAGGAAGCGAGGAGATTGCCCTCCCACCATAACAAAAGGAGAGAGGAGAGCCAGAGCTGAATTCCCAGGAACTCTCAGGTCTCACGGAGAAAAACTCACAGGTTTTCTCCAAGCTGGAAGAACAGTGTGGTCAGGAAGGGACCAGTTTTGCCCATCCTGTTCTGGCCACGTGGCTCTTGAGGAGGATGTGGGCAGCCCGTGTGCGAGGCTGCAGGAGCATTCAGAAATCTTGGCAACTCCTGTCTTTCCAGCTCTGCCGAGGAGGTGGCAGTGGGGAGCTGGCAGGTGCTAAAACTTGTACCATTCACCAATCTCTGAGTGCACGGTACAAGTCACAGACCTGAGTGACCCTGAGGAGACCTCTGTGAAGTTTTAACTCTCCCTGCAGGCCGTGAAGGCGTTAGAGCTTTCCAGAATAAGGCTCAGAAAAACGTGATGTAAAATGTCATTTCAATCAAGGAGGAGGTCCTGCCTTCTCTGGGACGAGTGCAGTCCTTGCAGACAGCATGTGCATGCAGCTACAGGAGAAAAAGAGCAGGAAATTCCCAAAAGCATAAACAGGAAGTAAAAATATAATTGTATTTGCCCTGCTTTTTCTTTGAGAGTCTGCAGGAGAGGATTTATTTTTTTTTACAAAATTTAAGATGGCAACCTGTTGACGAGGAGCAACAGTAAAAATTATTGGTGCTTTTCTTGGACACAGGTTCATTGCTGCTGGGGAGAACTGTCAGTCCGTGTGGCAAGGGTAAATTGGAGGGATTTGGTAGTGTGGTGGAGAGTGAAATGAAGTGGCCTCTGCTCACTGTATCCACCTGTTTGGGTCTGGGGTCACAGTTGTTGCCAATAGATACCAGAAAGACACTTCACTGAGCTCACTCCCTCCTCGAGCAGAACCACTGAAGCCTCAGGAAAATACACAATTCAAGAGGTTGAAAGGTTTTCATTAATATATAGCTAATTAATAGGGCTGTTGTGTTTCCCTTCAAAAGCATCTGTAGCAGTTTTTCAGGGTTTTTTGTGAGGTGTCAGAAGGGACGTGGTTCTGAGGAGGGTGTTGGCTTCCTTCTCACACCCACCTTCCCACTTAGACTGGTCAGCACTGCGTGAAGCCAGTAAACCATGTTCTCCTCTAGCCTTTCCTACCAGCAGTTTTCAAAAGCACTTCTGCTCCTCCTTTGGGTTTGTGCCTGCTCTACAGATTTCTTGAGAGTTTGGTCAAAACCACAGAATTACCATTTAGGATTATATAATCTAAACTGTTGCACCACTTTTTATGTGGTATGAATATGCCTAAGAGGAAAAGACACCGTGAGATTGCAATTGCAGTTCAAGGCTCCTCGTTTTAGGAGTTTTTTTGGAAAGGAGTTGCCAGCCTTGGTTGGTCACACAGGCTATGTGAGAAGAAAAGGGAACATGTAAATGTGATTATTGGTCCAGGTCTGAGCACCAAATCACAGCGAGCTGAGGCAGCAGTGGGGTGTGTGTCTCACTCCAGCATCCACCCATCCCCTCTGCTTCTGTGGGCAGTGGTTCCCATCCATCTCCTGTCATTGCTTATTGCTTGTCTTCCACACTTGAAGCACCTACAGGCAGGGGGGCCAGGGAGCTGCCTCTGCCTGCTGGGGGCTGTCAGGGCTCCAGGAGAGGAGCCCAGCGCACCCCGATGCCAACTGGTGCTTGTGTAACCTTCCTCCCGAGGCGATTTCCACAGAAAACAGTTCTCCAAAGCCTTCTCCCTCCTTAGGAACACATACAAAGGATATTCAGCAATGTTTTCAAGTGCCAGTGTTCAAGAGAAATTAGCCAGGGTAATTAGGAGAGGAAAATTCAATTAGTGGGCGAGGAAGGAGTCGGGGAAAGAAAGGAAGGAAACGAGTTCATTGTTCAAGCCGGGCAGCGCATACTGTGAACCCGTGTGTTGTTTTTTCTTCAAAGGCAGCGTGGGCAGCGCTCGGGCTGCCTCCAGTTAGCTTTGGCTGGAGGAGGGGGTGGCACTAACGCCTGTCTTGTTCTCCCCAGAGCTCGGCCTCGCTCAGCTCGCCCCCCTCGCCCGCGGACCGCGCCGAAATCCCGGAGGAGAAGCCGGGCAGGTGCCCGCGG